GGCAGGCGAGGGCGCGGAGCCTGGCCCCCAGCGCTTTGCCTTTCAGGGTGTAGATGATGGGGTTTCCCAGGCAGTTCATGGTGATCAGCATGGCCGTGCAGTTTCGGAAGACGTACACGCCTGGGTAGAGGTCGGCGTGGCACTGGTGGGTGGTTGCATCGAACAGGACTCCCGCAAAAAAAGGGGCGTAGGAGATCAGTGCCAGGAGCCAAATAAAAATACTGGTTCTGGCGACCTGGGTTTCAGCCGATTTGTAGGTGCCAGTAGCTTGTCCACATGCTTTCATTCTCAGCTTTCTTCTCCTCAAGATGATGATGATTCCCAGGTAAGTGAACAGAGGTATAACAAAAGCCACCGCAACGTTGGGAATGGCAATGAAGATGAGGTAGTCGATGCAAAACGGACTGTAGAGGACAGAGAGATTTTTTTCCGTGTGCAAGCAGTTCCACCCCATCAATGGCAAGCAGCCCAAAATGAAAGCAAGGACCCAGTTAATTAAAACTGCAGCTATGGAATGGTTTCTAGCAACCCTGAATCTTGTCCTCATGCTTTCAGCCACAGCCAGGTAGCGTTCAATTCCAATGCTTACCAGGTTATAGATGGTGGATAAAATAGAAGTAGTGTAAAAGGCATAAGGCGCAAGCATCTCCTTGGATCCAAAGATCGTAATGTCAGGATTGGTGATGAACAGCATCGAGATCCAAAAGCCAGAAAAGCTGGTGAAGAGATCGGAAAAAGCCAAATTGCAGAAGAGTATAGAGATAGGCTTGTGCAGATCCTTTGTCGCCATTCTGGTGAAGATGACTGTGCAGTTGAAGATCACAGATGCTATGTTAATGATCAGTTGAGGGATGCCCAGCGAAAGCACTAAATAATGACTCCAAATTTTAGTGTGGTTAGCAGAGCAGTTCGAGTATCTATTCATGGTGGAAAAAATCCTACTTTCAACAGTTAACGAGGTCTGCTTCACTCATCCCATATTCCATAAGAGACCATGCTGCAGGAGTGTTCCTGCCACCTTACTCTCCAGGCGAGGAATGAATCCTGACACACGGCTTTGATCGCCACAGCATCATCATGACAGTGGATTAAACTTTAACCATTCGTGCTTTTAAATATTTGGGTTACCAACCCAGGGCATAGCCACTTAGGTTGAAGTTGCTAGGATAGCCGAAAGTGGAAAACACATTTACTACCATACAGAAGACAATCTGCTTAAAGCAACCTCTACCAAGAGCAAAATCCGGCCAGTTCTGGTGAAGATGAATGATCGCATCAGTAGTTTAAAAGTCTTGAAGGCTATTCTAAAACGGAATGAATGCGAACTCAGCTTTCATTCACAAATAAACTAGCTGGATAAAGGATAGAGAGTCAGAAAACAGAGAGCAGTGATTTTTTTGTTTTGGAGGGGTATGTGACTGCTGGAACTCAAAGAAGAACATCACTGTTGTGTCCCTCACCTGGACCCCAGGTCAGTGAGGATGTAAGCCTTAATTTCAGATCAACTCTAGTGACATCAAAAAACCTCTCACTGAGCAAGAGACAAGAGAGCCTCGTTGTTCACCGTCTCTTGCTTACAGTTACAGACTGATGCAGCCAACAGAGGCTGGTTTTCTAAGCACAGTTAGGTCAGACCTACAGAACAAACCCCAAACTTGTAAGCAAAACCACACGACGAACTACAGCACTTCAAAGGGGATCCAAAGGGGTCAGAGCCTCTGTCTCCACGATGCTCCTGAGCTTGGGCCCACAGAAATATCTGTACTGAGTACTGGAATACTCAGAATTTGTCAGAATACACCTGAAATTGTATGGCTTTTCTTTCACTTGTGTAAATTAGAGGTACTGATGCTTTACCAGCTTAAAAAAAAAGGAGAAATGCATTTAATGAGTTGTTGAATTAATTTTCAAACAGGGAAACACAGGAGAATGTCTTAACCCTTTAGTAGATTAATTGTATTGGAGACTTATGATGCCTAAACAGTTCTGAAAATGCCATTTTTTCCACCTTAACTCTCAGATGAGAATATAGCTAGAAAGTGACAGACATCTAATCTATACTCATACCTTCCTTACGGGACATTTTGTGTTTGCTTATTGAAAGTTAATGTGTAACTTGTACATTAATAAAACAACATAACATCGTGATATCTTTTCTTTCTCCGTCTTTTTAAAGGTAAACGATTTTTGAGAACTACATTTAAAATACTTGAGACCTGGGGGAAAAAAGCTCTTTGGAGATACCTCCAGTGCTAGCAGACAGCAGAGGGCACTGCTGGAACAAACACCACACCTCCGGGGAGGGGGGGGGGCTGTTGGACAGCGGGGCAGCTTAGCTGGGCAGAACATCGGCACACCGGTCAGAACAGCCCCGTGGGTATTTTATCTGTGCAGAAGTGGCCGCTTTTCTTGGCTGGTGCTGAGAGTGGGTCACCTCTGTGTCACCCCACGCTTTATTCCAAATGCCCACAGACAAGGAGAAAGCTCCCGTCTGCTCTGGCTGCTGCCTGGCGCCTGCCTGCAACTGAGCAGCTTTCCTTTGGCAAAATCATCCAGGTAAAGCCATGCTACTTAGAAAGTTATTCTGATTTAATTCATTTTTTACCGTTATCCTAACAAAGGATTAATTTGCATTAGTAACAGTTTTGTACCATGATATTGGTATAATATGGGCAAAGCAGCTCAGCTAAATTTATGGGCTTTCCACATTCAGTGCTGACATCTGATCATGATGGCAGCAGTTCCAGCTCTGGGACTGTAAATCTGCGAACTAGGTGATAGCTCTGCCAGAATTTACAGCATAAGAAATTTGTGCTAAAATGCTGAACTTAAAAAGGAAAATTCTATAGCTTCTTTTTCCATTGAAGTTGAGGTGTATGAAAGCATATTCAGGTTAGTGTGCAATTAGTAGTACACAAGTGTTACAGACAAGCAATACTTCACGCAAATAAGTAGTAGCTGTGTCAGATGGTCACAAGGAAGTGCAAAGAATGATTCTATAGAAATAAGGGCTGAGAACTGATTAATCAAGTCTGCTGATGTATTCATATCCTATAAAATATGCTGCTGGAAGTGTCACAGCTACACCTTTCTTTGCGCATCCTAGGACCCACCTCATACAGCCTCGCCAGCCACACCTCTGGTGTGAGGTTGCTGCTGAACAAGGGCTCTACTATTTCTGTCACCTTCTCGGTGCCAGCACTGCAAGTCAGCAAGTCCTTGCAATAACAGCAAGAATGTCAGCAGGTAACGTCCAGCCCAGCGGAACACCGGTCAGGAGCGGCAGAGGACACCAGACAACGGCACGTGTGCTCCTGATCTCTTCCGAAAGGGTTTTCCACAGCTCTGTGAACAGAGGGAGGGGCCGAGCGCTGTGAGGAATAGCAGGCTATCCACAAAGTAAAACATCTTTGAAAGTATCCTAGTTACTATGAAGAGTATATCTGTGAGCTCGGGCTTTAAAGTGCCCCAGATATTCCTGAAAATGCTACTTGAAATATCCCTAATTGGAAAATTTGGTGTTCAAGCATGAAATACTGAACAATAGGAGATCAGAATGTAATTAAAAATAATATCAAGTAGTAGAAGTAGCTCTTCACAAAAGCTTTGTAATCTTATTTCCCTAATATAATTGCATAAACATTAGCATAATGTTTCTAGATTAAAGGAGACAATATTACTGTGGAAACTGCTTGGTTAGTGGGCTCCAATACACAGAAAACCCCAGATTCATATATTCCAGCCCTCTGTAATAAAGTCTGAGCTCTCAAATCCCAATGAAAAGTAGTTTGAATCGAAGTTACTGTGTGAGAGAGAGGTCTGTGACACAGCCGGATCTCTATGAGTAACAACCTCGATGCCAGGGTATTTGCATACTCCCATATTCTGGGAACTCTGCAATCTCTCTTCTACTTCTGCTCCCCACACACCTGCGAGGAAAGAG